TTTAGAGGCAAAGGCAAGACCATTGGTCTGGGAATCCAGGTTAGGTACATGGGGCTTTTACAAGGGTGGGGTTAGAGCATAGGGAACCGGGATGGGAGTGACCAAAAGCCTGACAGACAGAGAGAGGGCAGGGGGCTGTCCCAAGGGACAGAACAAGGGCTGTCTTGACTTGATAGAACAGGATTAGTTATCCAAAGGAGATAACTGAGAGGCTTCTCCTATCTTTCTAACTGGGAGTGCCTGTCAAGGTCTCTACACTTCCTGGTCTGTATCTATCTAATCTCTCATTCTATTTTTTCAGCATTTTCACCTCCATTCTCACATTTCAGAGTTTCTCACCACTTCAGAATTATTTCTCTCAACTTCTACTTGACTCTTTGCCCCTCCTGTTGCCCCAGTACAGTGTCCTGATACAGAGGAAAAAGTCAGTGAATATGCTCTGAGGAAGAACATGCTATAAAGCAGATACCAGAGCAAGTTTCCTTTAAGAGGACCTGTTGATTGTTAATTACAGTCCAAGTAAGTTAAACGTCCCTAAATATGGAAGAGTCATTATTTCAAAAGAGGCAAAAATGACTACTTAAAAGAAAAAAAACAAAACGTTACAGCTCCATAGAGGAAAACTAACGGACTTTGGAGGGGACAAGGGGGAATAAACCCCTTCTCAAGTTCTTGATAATGTTGTACAATGGAAAAACACTGGATTTTTCATCTGTGTTAAGAGAGAAGACATGGCTCCACTGGTTTCTTCATGCTTTGCCCCAATAGAGACTTAGTGCAGCGATGGAGCAGTCTAAAGAGAAGTAGATGGTCACTATAGTTTTATGAACAATAAGGCTTTAAAAGACAAGCTTACTAACCTCTCAAGCAGAGTTAAACAACCTCTGAGGCACTGAACTAATTGCACCATGAATCTGTGCTAGAGGGAAGAAACATTCACAGGACCAGCAGTGTGTGTCTTGACTCCTCTCTCTGCTTCACAACACTTACCTGCAACATGTTTTCAAAAGTAAGCATGTATCAGATTTTTTTAAAAGTTATTCAGGGGCTATGCTGGGCTATTTTTTAGACTTTATTTTCTCTGTTCTTCCATCCATGAGAAAGGAGAAAAGGAGACCAGTATTGCATTCTAGGAACTTTATTACGTGCTTTAAAAAATGTCTTAAAATTAGCACACAAAATACTTGACAAAGAAGTAAACACATACAAGTTAGTGGTACTGAGTAACATCCTCCATAAGTGCACAGATCAGACCAGGAAAAGCAAGTTTCACTGGCTACCACCATATTCTTGAGAAGAAGAAACATTTCCACCAGTTTTCTTCGGGAAAGTTTTCTTTGGAAGGAGCTGAGCAATGATATTTGGCAGAACCCCACCTTGCGGGATGGTCACACCAGCAAGGAGCTTGTTCAGTTCATCATCATTTCTCACAGCCAGCTGAATGTGCCTGGGCAGGATCCTTGTCTTCTTGTTTTCAAGTGCAGCATTCCCTGCCAGCTCCAGGATCTCTGCTACCAAGTACTCCAACACTGCAGCCAGGTAAATGGCAGCACCAGAACCAATCCTATCAGCGTACTTCCCTCTTCGGAGGAGTCTATGGACACGACCCACAGGGAACTGCAGACCTGCCCTGGCTGATTTGCTTCTCTTTACTGCACTTCCAGAGGGGCCAGCCACTGCTTGTTTCTTTCCACGTCCAGACATTCTGGCAGGCAAGGAGACACAGAGGGGTGGAGGTCTTCAAAATACTTGGGTGCTTGGGCTACAGCTAATGGATAGCAAGAGGAGGCAATAGCAAGGTCAGTTCTGCTCTTCCACATCAAGGAGAAAACTTGTTCTTTTCTTGAGAAAAAGAGCTCACCGCATACCACAGCTCATCAACAGCACAGCTAAAATTTTAACAATCATTGCCCCTTTTACAGCCTGCTTTTTAGGAGAAGGATCTCATTGCAAAACCTGTCAAGGGTTATTGAAGTTAGACATGAAGGGCTCCGATAAAGAAAAGCTTTCCCCTGCTACTTAGAATATATTTGAGATTGAGGCACAGTGGGTCTTCTTCAGCAAGATTTTTTAAAACACCACAGCTGTTACCACAAAGCTAACTTGAGGCCTGTCTCTTCTTCCAACTTACATTACAAGTTGTACTATCAAATTACAACTTTCCTCCATTTAAAAACAGAAAAATTCTTGTTGCCTAAAACTTGTTATACCCAAAATGTTCCAGGACATTTTCATACAGAGCTTTAAATTAATTCCCCAAGCAGTATTCTCTGGCTTCTATGGGAATACTACTGGAGGTTTTCTGCACCAGGAAAAGGATGAATTGGACAGTACAATGCAGACTGAAGAATAGAAACTACTATCTACTTCCTCATGATGAAGGAAATTCAGCCCAGCTAGAAGACTCTTACAACTGGAGCAGCAAAACTACTAATTTAAAAACACTTCTGGTCTAAGCAAATAGAGTTAGTTTCCAGCACAGCTGTTTACAATATACAAGAACACCCATCACTACTTTAATATGTAGGATTTTAAGATAGGTTTACTATTTAAGAAAGATTAGAATAAGCTTTGAGAAAAAGGTGAAAAAACAATGAAAATTTAAAAAACCCAGCCCCCTAATAAAAACCAAGCATACCAAACCCTCATAACTCCTTCTCCCTATTACCAGGCAATACCTTTTCTAAATTACCCACAGTACAGTCATACTGCACAATATAGGCAGCTAAGTTACAAAGTAATGTGAAGCCCACGACCTCAAGCCCTCCCCAACACATTACAAACAAAAAACACATCGCATTACCTTCAGAAATTCTTACTTTATCCTAGTCTACACCTTGCTGCAAGTTGCACTCAACAACAAACAAGCCACATAACACCACTGGCTCTTCCCTGGGCCCAGAACCTTTTTATTAGCAACTTTTTCTCCTCATCAGCGGGTCACCTGGATAATTAATGTGTCATTTACACACGTGCTTCATCTTCTTTCACCTAATTCCTGATTTGGGGCAAAATGAGGAAATATATTACAGCTGCTCAGAAGCAAATTAGCTGGGGTGAGGGGGAAGAAGGTAGGCTGTCTCCAAGGGTTGAGCTGTAGCCACATTCCAGTCTCACTATGACATTGCCAGTTCTCACCCACTCTGGCTGAAGTATTTCTGTCTGTATGTTATGTGTAAAAACAGTCCTCTCCTTCCTGCTAAAGCTTGATAAAAAAAGTACATAGGGAAAATGGGCTTTTTAAGTATATCTTTAGTTGGGTGGGAGGTGGAAACTGTGTTTTGCTTTAGATGTGTCCTAGGAAGAGTAATGCTTGGTTCACGTTGTGTCTGAGCCCCACCAAGTGATGTGATGGGGCTGCTCCTAAGATTTAGGCTTCTGCCCCCTCTTCTGGTAGCCCTGTCCTAGATAGGGCTCAGGATTTACTCTGGTTCTGGTGGTGAGGGTGCTTGGCTAGTTCCTCTTAGTTCACCTAGGCAAAAATCTCACCTTGGGCAAAGGAATATTTTTGAGCACCCTTTAAAGAAATGAGTGCTCACTTCCTGCTCATGCCCTTTCTGCATTTGTTTTCTGGCATTCAGAGTGGTTTCTGACCAGCAACATGCAAGGGCCGTGGGTGTGAATGGTATTTCAGCCACAGATGATGACTATTTAAACCAGAGGGTACTCCCGAGAGCCCAGGCTCTGGCAAAATATTCAGACAACAAAACTGTCATGAACAGTTCAACCTGCATTTGTGGCACTCACTCACTTTTCCTACAAGGATGAGCTTTAGTCTAAGCTGAGTGAGGTTGAGTTTCCTGCCACCCCAAGGCATTGAACAACCAGTATGGGGTACCCTCTGCACGTCCAAATGCTCACCATAAAGACTGATGTCCTCTCAAAGCACATCTGTCCCTTTCTTCTAATTCAGAGGCAGAAAAGGTAGCTGTGCCTTCCCTTTAGTAACCCAAACTTAGCAGGGACAGGGAAAGTGGCCAGCCCACTTCAGAATAACTGACTTTTAATGGGATGCCCACGATCCTATAATATGGGGAAGGGGGGCTTCTAAATTTTAATTTCAGGCCCTTTCCAGAGCTGAGATAGTCCTTCCTCTACATGCCCAAACTCACTCTTAAGGCCTGCTGGCAGGTTCTTTAGGGTTCTTTTACAGAGACTGAGGTCTGGGTGAGCATGCTGTCCATTGGGCTAGAGCATAAAAGGAGGGGAAGGGAGGCAGGAACAGGTCTCTTCCCTCTGCTGTGTGTCTTGGAGAAGCAAGCTGAAAAGACCTTCTCAGTTCTTTGAAATGGCAGGCGTAGGTGCCTGTGTGTATGGAACGGGGAATGGATTTGGGTCATCACATACGACACACTTTCCAGTGTTTTCTGAGTGATACTTTAATATGGACTCAAAACTGAAATAAAAGTAACTATCATGAGACAAATTTCTGGTAATATCAGTTGGCAATCATACCAACATGTAAGTACAGCTGATTATGCCTAGAAGTATAGATAACATAGGCTTGATTGGCTATTTTATTTTATTTTTAACAGATCAGGGAAAGAAAATACGGAGATAAACCAATGGGGAAATAAACCAGGGTATGAAATGCAAACAGATAAAAAAGGCTCAGTGAAGTGGAAAGAAAAGTTACAGAGAATCACAGAAGACTGGAAAGGACCACAGTGAGTCATCTGTCCAAGCTCCCTGCTCAAGTGTGGATATTCTATGTCAGGTTGGGGGGGCTTGAAGCAACCTGGTTTACTGGAAGGCGTCCGTGCTTAGGGCAGGGAGATTTATGATCTGTACGGTGGCTTGCAATCCAAAGCGTTCTGCCGTGCCTTCAGACCGCCCATGCCGGCCCGAGGCCGCCCGCCGGCACCATCCTTATTAGGCGGTGCGGGAAGCGGCGGCGGCGGCAGCGGCAGCGCCCGCCCCGCCGGGAGCGCCGCCTCCTCCTCCTCCGGCCGCGCCGCGCACGCCGGGACCGGCTCTGCCCGGCCCTGCCCGGCCTTCCCCAGCGCCACTGCCCGGGCACGGCCCCGGCCTCGCCGGCACCATGCAGGTGAGCAGCTGCGGTGCCCTCGTGTCCCCGCACCCGGCCGTGTGCGGGCGGTGCTGGGCCGGGCTGAGGGCTGAGGCCCCGCCGACAGCTGCGGGCCGCCCTGCCCGGCCGAGGGCTCGGGGCCGCCGCCGAGGGGCCGGCCCGCCTTCGTGCCGCTCTCGGCGCGGAGGTGGCTGCTGTGAGGCTGTGTTCGGCAGCTCCATGGCTGGGCTTGTGGCAGTTTGTTGCTTTTTTTGCAACTACGGTACTTACTTCACTGTGTGGTGAGTGGGTGGGCGTTTCAGGCAGTGCGTCCGTGTATTAGTAAATGATAGTGAATGGGGGGTCGAGGGAAAGGTGACGACGGTCGGAGACGGGGAAAAGAAATAAATCTGGTGTTGTGTTTGCTGAGCTACATTGTTCTTTTTCTTTATTTTCTTATTTTTCTTCTCCCCCTCTGCCCCCTGCCCCTCCTCTCCTGTCCCCGATAATCCATAAGTATTGGGGTTTAGTCTGAGAAGAGATATGGTTATATGGCTGTGAACAGACCTGGTGTAAGGTGTACTGCTACAAGCTATAGCAAAGCAGTAGGTGCAGCAGGAAACTGTTCAGTTTCCGAAGTGGACCTAGGCCAAGATGGCAAGGAAGCACAATCCGCCTGTGGGTACTTATCACCGAGATTTATTGTATTTAAAAAAATAAAATTGCCTGCTAAATAGGAAAATCTTACACTCAGCTTTTCAACAATATACAGGGGTGTATTTGCCTAGTTTGGCATGATTATTGCAACTATTTTACAGTAAAATCTCAGGAATAGTCTAGCTGTAGATTTAGATTTGAATCCTTAGTAATAGGCTTGGCTGACAGAGATGGCTTGCTTTTCTCTAAGCACTTACATAGTCACTCTGACTTAAATCTAACAAGGAGACTTCCCATGTACTGAGATTTTTGTTCCCATGTCTGTAAGGTTTGTGCCTGTGTGTGTCCTGTCACTAGTGCTTCCTGATGTAGTGACCATTGATTTGGTGGCCTGTCCTGCTCAGGGACAGGAAGCCCTCTGGCTAGTATGCTTCCCTGTCACCCAGCTAATACTCTCTACTTTCCTTGCACTTTGTGAGAGATGCAGCAGTGGTTACAATGCTTAAAACTTTGGTACCCAACCAAGACCTCCTGTGCTATGAGTGGGATGGAATAAAAAGAAGTCAATGTTCAGGGTACTGCACGTCTGGGGCTGGAAAAAAACCTTGGCATCAGGAGGATTTGCACTGTGACTTTCTGGCACCATCCGTCCAGTTACCAGTTTAGTGACTGTGTTAAGTTCTGGAAGTGGTAATGTTCACCTTGAAGAAATATCATCCATTTGTTGTTCTGTTCTAGGATCCAAATAAGGACACAGAGTGGAATGACATTCTGCGCAAGAAAGGCATCCTTCCTCCAAAGGAAAACCTGGAGGAACAGGAACGGGCAAAGGAAGAGGAGCAGTTTGCCATCCTTCAGAAATCTCTGGGTGAGTGACCAGCCAACTCAGCAGCAGAACAATCCTTGGAATGGCTCCTGAGGGAAGCTTTTTCAAAGGAGTGGCCAGCAGCAATGTTTAAAGCAATGTGTCATTTTCCAGGTCTGTAGGGATACCAAAGCTTCATCTCTGCAGGGTGATCAGCTGTTAATGGTATCAAACAAATACATTCCTGAACACATGGATTCTTCCAGCACAGGAAAGCTTTGTTCTTCTTGTCAGCTCTGTATTTTTATGGAAGTAAATGTTTGAAAACTGAAACAAGATCAGTGCAAAGGAAGTCTGTCAGGTGAATGTGCATGTCTGTGCTGCAGCTGCTAGACTTGAAAGCTTATGCAGGTAGTTGGGTACTAGTCTAGGCAGCCTTCACTTCAGAGGCCTTTTCCATCATATTCTTTCCATCTGTATATCTAAAGTACATAACACTTTCTAAAAATCCAGTAGGAATAATAATGACAGGTTGAGAAAGCTGGGGCTGCTCAGCCTGGAGAAGAGAAGGCTTGCAGGGAGAACTGTAGCACCTGCCAGTGCCAAAGGGACTGACAAAAGACAGAAGAGCTGGGGAGGGACTTTTTAGAATCATAGAATAGAACTGTAAAATATCCTGAGTTGGAAGGGACCCACAAGGATCAGTGAAGTCCCAACTCCTAAGGGCAATTCCAACTTTACGAGACCATGTAGTGATAGGACAAGGGGGAATGGCTTTAAAGTGAAAGAGAGAAGGATTAGATTAGATATTAAGAAGAAATTCTTTGTTGTGAGGGTTGTGAAGCACTGGAACAGGTTGTCTAGAGAAGCTATGAATGTCCCATGGCTGGAAGTGTTCAAGGCCAGGTTTCATGGGCCCTTGAGCAACCTGGTCTAGTGGAAGGTGTCCCTATCCTTGGCAGGAAGTGTAGGAACTGGATGATCTTTAAGGTCTCTTTCAACACAAGCCATTCTGTTATTCTAGGATAATATTTTTAAAAATCCATCCCATACTTCCTATTAATCTGTCTTTAGAGTAAATAAATTCTGTTGGACTGATGACAGTTGATGAGTTTTAATCCTGGAATGAGGTTTTTGTTGATTTGATGTTTCTTTCATTCTAGTGAAAACTTACGAGGACATGACTCTGGAAGAGCTAGAAGAGAATGAAGATGAATTTAATGAGGAAGATGAGAGAGCTATTGAAATGTACAGGTCAGAACAGCTTGCAGAATTTGGCTTTAAGGATAATTGGAGGGTCTTTCTTTTATATGCTTTTAGATATTATTGAAGGGAAAGTATGTTTTTAGGATGATGGAAAAAGGGGGTTGTGTTTCTGGTCTCTTGTGGAGCTTCTAAGTGTCTTTAAAATGATAACAGCGTTTGAATTCAGTATCCTTTATCTACAACCCAGCTTTGCAGAGATAATGTGCACCTGTTGAGTGTATATTGGGATCCTGAGAGCTTTGAAAATCACCACCATTATTTCCTAATTTTGTGTGAATGAGGTTAAGGTGCTGCAGATTTGCATAATTAGTGTTGGTTTCCCTCTATGCAGAAGAAATGTCTAGTGAGGTCAGAAATGAGGAAAAAAAGCATTTCATGAAACGTAGTTGTACTTCTTGCATGTTGGTGGTTTTATCCTATGCTGCAAATATAAGAGCATCTACTGTGTCATTTTGCTTTTATTGCTCTGGGGTTAGCAGAAGTTTGTAATTTGTCTCTTAAGTCTAGGTTTCAACCAGCTCCTTCAAGTGATGTTCTGTCAGAGAAATGCATCTATTCACAAGATGTCTTTTTCATTCCTGGCTATTCAGGCAGCAAAGGTTAGCAGAAATGAAGGCAGCTCAAATGAAGAATAAATTTGGAGAAGTTTTGGAGATTTCAGGAGAAGATTATGTTCAAGAGGTTACAAAAGCTGGAAAAGGAATATGGGTAGTCTTACACCTCTACAAACAAGGGTAAGAATTTGTTTTTAATCATTAAACCTTGCACTGTCAATAGCTGAAAATGCTCCAAGGTAAATGTGTAGTTATTGTGGAACTAAGGACTGATTCTGGAGTTCTAAGAAATAAAAACAAATCAATAATTTCAATACTGTTGAGTCAAGACTGCTGAAGTTCATTCTAGAATGATGTTACCATCCTCTACATCTGTACAACACAGCAAGATGTGTACTATACAGCTTCCATAGAGGTAGCTGCTGCCACTGAAATATCCAAGCTTTGGAAGTTATTCTGCATTAAATCCAAGGGGCTGTGAATAGGAAGGATCAATATGTATTTAGCTGGGTTTCTAGTGGCATGCAAATGGAGTGAGCAAGGTTTCCAGTTGTATCACCATGACAGAAAACCTTGTCAAGAAGGTCTGTTATATTGCTAGAATTTTTTTGGAAGCGTTATAAATACTTGCTGCTCTGTCTCTAATTGCCTTACAGGTGTCGATCATCAATTGCATACCTTCTTCCAGGAACAGCTTTGCTTTCACTTTGCCCTTGCTCATACAATTTCTAAGCATCTTAAATTCATAAACCAGTTTCCCTGAATATAAAGGGGATAGAGGGGAAGGTTGCATTACTAATGTATTAGGACAAAAAGCCCATCACACACCAAAATCTCCCGTGGTGCCGATCTCCTTTGAATGCTGGAATACTGGACAACAAATGTATTCAGAAGTTGCTTCTGGTACTTTTTTCTTTTCAGAAAGTCATCAATCTGATATTTCTGACCTTTCTTCTGCAGCTGTTTACTTTTTAAATTGTCTTTTGTTTTCTCCTTATGTGTGCCTGTTGTTCTTCACAGAATTCCACTCTGTGCCTTAATAAATCAACATATGAGCGGGCTTGCAAAGAAATTCAGAGACGTGAAATTCATCAAAGCTATTTCTACCACCTGCATTCCCAACTACCCTGATAAGAACCTGCCCACGATATTTGTGTACCTGGAGGGAGACATCAAAGCTCAGTTCATTGGGCCTTTGGTGTTTGGAGGCATGAACCTGACAAGGGATGGTGAGTGTCTGCATCTCTGCTCTTCCAAAGGAAAAGCGAAACTGTTTTGCTGGGAATGAGAGAAATGAGGTTTAGGGGGAGAAAGGAAGTACTGAAAATGATACTAGATTTTTTTTTCACCCCTATGGCTCAATCACATGGCTATCTTGTAAAAGCAGTGATAGGCCAACATATAGATATTTGTCTTGTGTGTGCAAGTATTTATGCCCTGTGTTAGGTTGTTCAAACCAATTTTTCTGGATATATCAAAGGGTCAACAATACCCATGCATGTTCTTAAGGTGTCTTGGAGATGAATGACTTCCCTTGCCTGCAGTAACATGATAATCTCTGCACTTGCCTACTGGATTGCAGGGCTCCTTGTTTAATTTTTAAGATGATAGCATGTGTTTGTCTGTTGTCTCTGACTGAGTCAGCTTAATTCAGTCATCACAGAAAACTGTGTACTGAAATTTCTACACTTTTCTTTTTATGCCTTCTTTCCTTCTCCCCTAAGCACAAGTGCCTTCCACTGGAGATTAAAGAAAGTGTGAGGTTGTGTTGGTTATTCTGTAACATCTGAAAGAAATTAGATTTGATGATAGGATTGTCAGCAGGAGTAGGAGGAAGGTTTCAACTGAGTGTGTTGTATTGACTTTCTACCACTTCTGGGAAGCAATCCAGTCCAATTTGGGCCAACTGCTGGCAGTGAAGTCTCTCTTTACTGTCTAAAGGAGCTAATATTTAGTGTGTGATGTGGAGGCAAAGAGGTGAATTCTATTTACAAGGTACATCCCTGGAAAATACCTATAATTCAGATGCATAAATGAAATTTCCACAATTTTTCCTCTTTATTAAATTTATTCCCTGCCTCTTCTGATTGTGATGAGCTCAGTATATGATGGGAACAGCTGTAATGTATGAGCAGTATTCTTTCACTGGCAGTAGATGTGCAAACATGCCTTCTACCCTTATGTGGTTAGAAGGGGGTAGAATTCACTTTCACTGGGAGAGTTGCCTCTAAAGCTGCTGCTCTTTATCCATCACCTGTTTTGCACTCTTGGTTGCAAGGTGAGCAGGGTGGCACCGGGGATGTCACTGATGGGTGCAGAGCAGTACCCTGACCTTTGTGCCCTGAGCTAAGACCGGTGCCAGCACTAGGGATTGGGAAATGAGGGCTTGGCTGGAGCAGTGTGGTAAACAGGGCAGGAGCTTGCATCTGGGCATGAAAGAAGAAGGGGAGGAGGGCCTTGGTGTAGTGGTAGGATGATAAGGAAAGTCACCTGGGAGCCAGGGATGGGCTTTCTCCAGTTTGCTCCCCTACATTCCTGACTCTTGTTTTGCACTGCACAGAATTGGAGTGGAAGATTTCTGAGTCGGGTGCCATCAAGACAGACCTCGAAGAGAACCCCAGGAAGCAGATCCAGGACCAGCTCATGTCCTCAATCAGGGCATGTGTCCAAACCAGAGGGGAGAGTGACTCAGAGGATGACTAATTCCTGCAACTGCATCCGGATTGATGCAGTGCACTTGCAGCCAGTGTTCCCACCTCAGGCCCTGGAGACACTCCTCAAGGCCTTGCTGAGCCCCTGAGGGGTAGCCTTTCAAGACATTCATTCTAGAAACCTCTAGAAACTAAAAACATTTGTTTTTTAAAAATTGCAGCTTCACTTAAGATGCTGAAAGACATTTTGTATAGTGAAGCCTGAGTAAATCTTACTCAAAGTTTTAAAATACAGACATAACTAGAAACAGGTCTCTTGTTATTATTTTCATAGTAAATTGCTACTTCTTTAAAAATTTGAGCTATGAAGTGGTCTTAAGTGCACTGTTTTTAACAAGCTTAAATTGTACAAATCAAATCTAAATAGCTGGTCTTAAATAATTGCTTATGGCACTTAAATGGGCCATTTCTTAGCCTACTGTGCTCAGACCTCTGACAGCCTGAACTTCACAGAGAGCTGGAGGAGGATACTGACGATGCAGGTGGTTCTTAAGGTGGTATGTGGTCCTCTGCAGAGAAGTGCTTGCACCAGACTGGCAACATGAGGCTATAAGCTGGGATTCCAGGCATCTTGAGAGAGGCCTTAGGGATGGCCAGCCTCTCCTGGGACCTGCTGAGTTCAGAACTCCACTTTTGAATTAGCAGCACTGTTTTGCCTTTCACAAGGACTGAACTTCCTGCACCATCTTGCCTGCCAATTGCAAAATAAAATTCAAGATGGTGGTGGTCAAGTGTGAAACTACTGATGTCTTCAACCACATCACAAGTCAGGTGTTCCTACAGTAGTGCCACTGCCAAATGGAGGGAGGATGATGTTTAGGGAACTGACATCTTGCTATATTAAAGACTTCCATTTTCCAGCTACAGTAATAATAACTAAAGCCTTAGAAGAGCATAAACTTCAATACCACCTTGATGACAGATCTTCTGACACTTGGAGCTGCTTGATTATTTTTGGTTGGATTTAATGTCCACCTACACTTTCAGTTGGTCTACACTCAGGGTAATAATCTCCAAGAGCTTTTGCTAATGAGGCTGCCCCAATGACATTTTGTTATTTTGCTGATGGATTCTGTGGGTGGATGGTACAGAATGTAATACTCAATAAGCAGTGATAATTTTAAATTTTTTTGTTAGTTTGTAGTGACTTTCAAGCATGATTCCTGCACTCTGAGACAAATCAGTAGGTAGTCCAAACAACTGACTGATAGAGAGCTCCTTCTTTGAGATGTGAATGGTGATTTGAGTCTCACTTGTCTCCTTTCTTTTATCTTAGGTGTTTTTTGGCAGAATAGTTAAAATATGAATCTTTTACAAGTGAGCCAATTGCAACACAACAGAAGCTGATAAATCCTGAATATTATTACATAGCAGCACTCTTCTCATGACACGGGACTATCTCAAATGCTATCAGACTTGATGCTTCACTGTGCTCACCTACAACTTCGTACAGTCTAGGAAGAGGACAACTCTTCCTCCTTGTAGAAGTCAGCACTGCTATCTTTTGCTTATCTTTCGCTTGTTCGCATTTAGTTGTGCTTTTGAGTGACCTCTGATCACATCGACTGCATTCCTTTTGGAGGAAACTGGAGAAGCTAGAGGTGAAAAAAAGGAGAGGTGGGACTTCAGACTGCTTTCTTCACAGTCTCTTCTTCCAGCAAGGTCTTAAAACCATAGCTGCCTTTGCTTTTTGTGTGTGATCTGATGGGGTTTGTGAGCTCTTGGACCACTGAGAGGACTGAGGTCCTGAAGAGGACCAGGGCTGTGTATGGGTTGTCCCAGGCTGCTTAGCTGTGGAGAGCCAGATACCCTGTGCCTGGGAATGGTGACTGTGGCACTCCCACAGTTTTGTCTTCCCTCAAAAAGAAGTGGACCTGGTCTGCCTGGGAGGTTTATGCAGGAGACTACCTAGGACAGGGGGAGAGTGCCTCCTCCCTGCTGTCAGGGCTACAGCAGGGGCTGCCTTGCAGTTTCATAGGCAGCTCTGTTTTAGAACAGCAGTTCGGGAGAAATGGAGACATTTTGACCTCCATTTTTTATCTTCAACTGCTTAATCTGCTGAAATGTTGGGGGATGCCTCTGGAGGATGCCATGCTGAAAGGGACAGATGTGAGAATCATCACAAACCAGAAGAGGCTGAATATCCTGCCTAGCTGATGAGACCCACATGAGGCATCATTTCAAATGGTATCTGTGCTTCTCACTCTTTGGCTAGGTGTGAGAAGAGGCTTTTTGTAATGTTATTATTTTTCCTACCAATCATATTGCCATGCTCAAGGCCTTTTGTAGAAATTAGGTCTCTGCAGGAAACAGATAATGAGGTCTGTTTAACCTTTTGGCAGAGCAGGAGCTGTGGAAACACAGTTAAGGGAATGAGCTTTAGCTTAAAAGGAAGCTGGCTGCTCAATAGCAAACCAAAACAGCCAATTAATATACGTTACAGAAAAGGGGCAATATAATGGGAAAAAATAACTGGAGAGCATGAACTCTCATTTGCCAAGGCTTGGGGCACTGTTGCTAAATGCACTATCAATATTTTTGCAGCCTGTCAACAGTTAGTGTCAGATCAATGCTCACTTTTTGTCAGTGTGAGAGGGGTCTTTCTGTCAGCTATCATGGGAGAAATCAGAGGCAGTGATCCTGCAAGCAGTGCTGAGGCTTGTGTGAGTTACTGGCCTGCATACTGCTGTGAGAGCATCTCTGACTCAGCCCACACTGCAGCCGTGCCAGTGGGTGGTGGGAGGGGGAAAAGTAACCCTGGGCCATAGACAGGGGCAGATGATTTGCCATTAGTGGACAGTCACTGGAGTTTTTTGTGTGAAATGTAAGTGCACCACTAGTAATAAAAAGAATCCTCTCCATGGTGCAAGCCTGAAGTCTGCTGCTTAGCTAGGCCATGCGAGCAGTTGAATGAGTTCATGGCAGGCTGCCGTGATCTGGATAAGTTACCATTCTGATTTCCACCCCCCCTCCCTCCAGTCTTGTTTTCACAATATAGACTCATCAAACCTGCTGGGCAGTGTTTTACATCAATTTCACATGCTAAAGGAGAGCCAGGTGTTGTGCAAGCAGGGCAAAGCCATGGTCAAGCTGCCAGTTCTCCAGGTACTGAATTCAGCCAGGTCCCACAGTCAGGGACTTGTACATAGGTAGAAGCATCTGCAGGACTGTGGCTGCAGAAGGTGAAATGAAGGAGAGTCCTTTGAATGGCTGTGCTGTCCTGTACTTGTTTTAGCCAGGTCTTACTTTCCCAGGGTTCAGCTCAGCCTCTCCTGCCTCCCCCTTGTTGCTGTCCTATTATCCTCTTTCCCAAATATGCTCAGGTAGATATTTGGTTTGCCTTGTTGCTGGGAGTAATTTAACTTAGGTGAGAAGACTCACTATGAGAAAGCTGGGTGTGTGCATCCAGCTCTGTTGGATCAGTGCACAGGATGGGCACACAGTGCCAAGCCACAACTTAGCCTGACATCTGAACACTGGTGTTTGTCTTTGTAGAATTCATGAAGAAAGTTGTCCTGATCTACGGCGATTCTCATGAAAGTTACGGTGCACTTCTTTTTCCTATTTCAACAACTCAAGTTCAGAATAATTTGTCTTCATGCTCCTGGAATCTGAGGAAGTTAATCTGCTTCACAGGCAATGAGAAATGAAACTTCTAACAGAAATGTCAGTAACTTGGTTTGGAGTAGCTCTTCTTTTGCAAAGAGGGTAAAATCCCCCACTATTATATGAACAGTTTGCTACATATTTGTTGGGATTGGATCATGTCTAAAGAAACTTTACTCTCACTGAGATCAAAGGAGAATGCTTCCCTGTCGTTGTTAAAACTAACATATTCCCTGTCAATTGTTTGGAAGGCAGTTGAACTCATTTCTCATTTCTTATTACAGCCCATTATAAATCACTCCTCATTTCAATCTCATTTAGTTAATTCAGTCATCAAAGGGTTGTAGGAGGCATAAAGTATTTTATTCATGTATTTAGCTCTTCACAGAATTAAAAAGAAGTATTGAACTTCTTAGGTCTATATGCAGATGGCTCTTGTGTTGCAGGAAAAAGCTTCATTCCCTCCTCTAGAAGGCAGAACCACTAAAAAATGAAAACCAAGCAGCAAGAGACTCTCTCCAGGCTTCTGTGGGAGACTGATGAACAATATGACTTGTTTTCATACACCATGTTAAAAATATCTCTTGACAACAAGCCAAATTTTTCAGGACTTCATCATATTAATTTGAATTTACAAAGCTGACTGAAAAAACTGAGGTCTGATAAAAATGTCAGGGAGAATATGAAGTAATTCTGAAGTTGTTTCTATTTAACACTTCAAATGTTAAATAAGGAAGAAACTATGGGATCTAAGGCAGAACAGTCCACATAAATGTTATTAACGGACAATGAGATGCATGTACTTATGCATATTTGTAAGCCTCTGCTGCAATATGTCTCCTATAAAAAGTCATTCCAGTATTCCATCAAAGACAACGATGATTCTTGTAAAGGCAAAAGTTACAGCATTTACTGGTGAGAGCAAGTTTTGGATTTTCAGAAAGCCATTGCCTACCCCCACAGAAACTGACTCATACTATAGCGTGTGTCATCCTGATCCCTCTCCCCTCAATATCCATGGGAATACTTTCATTTACAAGGAGGGCAGCAAAGACAGGTACTGAACTCCTTCCATGACTGCAGCTTATCCCTCTGTGAATTAGTACAGACCATTTGGGGGTGTTGGGAAACTTCATTAATTACCTGTCCATATGCAGATGATTTCTGTTAAGCTGAAAGTGGGGATATCCTGGATCCTCCAAGTTGGCTGTCACTTCCTGCTGTTTAGTTGTTGGCCTCAGGTAAACATCCCCAAACTCCTCCAGCTGAGGTGCATTCACTCTGACTATACCTACCTAGAAAATTTAATAGTCCTGAGGAATGAGATGTTAACCAGATCTTGTGGGGTGAACCAAGGCCAGATCAAAGGTCTCATCCTGGAAGAACTTGAAGTAGTTTTTTTTCTTGTCTTCCTTCTCCCGCTGAGATAAAAGTGAAGCAAGAGCCCTTGAGACAGTGCAAGAGATGAAGGGCAAGAGGCACAGGCAGGATAAAAGGAACTCAGATGGGAAGCTTAAAAGAGTCTGACCATTGCTAGAGAAGAAAGGTAAAGGTGAAGAAGGTAATAAAGAAAAATTATAAAGATTGCATTACGATGAAGATTCTGGAATATTTGGTGTTGGGTTAGACTGAGAGGAGTATGGTTCTCAAAAGAGGGACTTTGTGTATGTAGCTGCAGACTGTGCAGGATAGCAGAGTGGATGGCAGAATTAAATCACAGAGGAAATTTCATTCAGACCCATGAAAACTTCTTTCCTTACTTCAGTGTATAGGAAAAGATGCATGCTCTGATCCACAGAGAGATGTTGGGAAGTGAGCAAATGAGCACCACTAAGAGCAGAAATCAGGCAGGTTTTCAGTAAGTAAAACTGATTGGTAAAAAAAAATCATGTGCAATTCAAAGATATTGCTGTATTATTTGCCTGCTAATAAGCTGTCTTGAGCATAAGCTCAGGAAAAGCTATGGATCTTTCAGGTGAGAGGCACTGTTTATATGCAGTTTTACAAGACGCAGTAAGCACTAGCTGCATTGTGGCATCTGGCACGTTACAGACCCAGCCCAGTGGGTAATACAGGCTTTCTCTCTACATTATGATGTCAAATGGCATTTTCAGTTTAAAAACAC